TACATAGTGATGCTATTTATAATCATTGATGAATGGTATAATGTTGCTACAAGTGTATTTTTCTCTTTGCAGTTCATTCAGGTATCATATTTGTTGTCAGCTAATGTATTTAATCTGTTAAAATAGTAGGCCTGGATATTGCTCGGCCCTGGAAAATTTATGACTCATTGCAGTTAGATTGTAAGTAATAAATGTGTAAAATAACAGGAAAATTTCTGGAAGCTCATTGCCCAGACTTTCCAGGTTTTTTGTTGTTGTTGTTGTTGTTTTGTTCTTTTTAACTGTAGTAATAAAAAAACAGACATTTTTATAGTAGAAAGTTACAAAGCCATTTGTAGCACAAAATAGGCTTTCTTGCCAGAGGTCATTTTTGGGAACAACAACAAATAAAACAACTGGCCTATTTCAAGATTTATCATGTCTAATGTTTCTTTATGTGCTTCTGAGTATGGCTGATCACGGTAGTATAATAACTTGCACAAAAATGAACAAGCTTAAAAACAAACAAAGAAACAAACAAAAACAGGGCTTTTAGTATTAAGGCTGCAAAATTAATGTCAGCTGTCAGATTTATGCTGAGGTTCTTTCATGCTTTCTCTGTGAATTCTTGTACTGTTAAACACTTATTTTAAACACTTTCACTTCATTAGAGCAACACCATACAAAGTGAATCAATGCAAGTAACTAATGGGAGGAGCATTTATAGTTAACCTGTAAAATATATCCTGACCTGTAGAGTTTGTCTGTTTATGGTTTAGTGTAGGGAGAGTGTAACACCATTAGATGAAACACTCAAATTTGTATTATGTGTGCTTAGTGTTCTGATGCAAAGTACAAAGTGTGTGGCAGTAGGGCTGGCCTTTATTGTTTGTACTTAACGCTCAGGTATTTCCTCATAATTGTAGTAGAGAAACATTAGCATAGACCCAAGCAATTGGTTATATATTATACATATAATAATATTTTCTAGTTTTATAACTGGATTAATACACAAGTTAAAAATTGGAAGAGAGCAAAATTTTGTTGACTTTTATTTTGATTATCCATTTTAATGCAGTCTGATGCTTTCTTGAAAACAGTTTTTTTTTTTTTGGTTTGACCATTTTGATTAAATGTCTACTTAGTAGGACTAGTTTATTTTAACTGCAAAATATTTTTCCCCTGTTAAAGATTTATTTTTATGACAGGACAGTAGATCAGGGAAAGGTCACAGTGCTGAGAGAATGGAAAATGTCCCAGGTCTGAATCAAACCCAGGCCCAGCAGCTTTTTGGCATATGGGTCACCTGCTCAACAAACTGAGCTATACTGGTGTCTTTGACTACAAGTTATTAACAGACTAGTGCACTTTCATTGCTAATTGTTTTTTCCTCTTTCTACTGTTTTTTTTTTTCAAACTTGGAAGAAAAAAGAGAAGAAAAATAGTGTCTGCTCCTGAAAATGGGCCTCTCCATTTGCTGCAGAGCCGCTTTCAACTTTGACCCCAGCCAAGGAGGGCATCTAACAATGATGCTGGGGAACATGTGGATGACTCCAACTCAAAAAAGGCTATGGGACAACCAAATGAGGAAAATGTTGGAAAATCATCAGGCTCAGGCTCAGGAAATTAATTCAATGTCATAAATGAGAAAAAAATAGTAATCTATCATTCCTGAACAGAAAACTGCAGAAACATGAGCACAAAGAGACAGGACAAAAAGAAATAGAAGACAATCAGCAAGAAAAGGACAAACAAGTTTCTGATCATATCAGGTAGTAGAGGTGATGAAAGCAAAGAATTCTGCCTCGGGACAAGGCAATAGTAACTGTAACCCTGTAGCAACAGAGCCCGATCATCAAAAAAAGGCAAAACTAATAAACGTCTTTCTAAAGATTCTGATGCAGCACGTGCAGTCCTAGTAGCATTGTGTCATTTACATTTACTCAAAGAACTGTCTTTTCAGAAATTTTAGCCTTTGTCTCTCTCAGTTCAGTTGAACTTTCAGACAGACTGAACTTGCAATGCTATATTCACCCCGCATACATGTTAAAAGAGCAAAAAATAATTTTACTCACTCAAGTGAGTGCTTCCATTTGCTTATAAGAGATCCCTTTACAGTGATTGAGTGTGTACCCACTAAATGTTATTAGTTTGGTGCATGATTCAAATCATTCATCCACAGGGTACACTCACATGTAATCCAGGCATAAAACACACAGGTGAGGCAGATAAAGGTGAAACTACAAAGGATAATAGTAAAGTCCACCGTGAGGCCTAGAAGAAGAAAAAACCAGGGCGGAAAAGCCTTAGTGGAGATAAAGGCTTTCAAAATAAAAGTGAACCTGTTGATTGCAATCCAGAAGGAAACAGATCTCAAAAGTGTAATTGTAAGATCTTTATAAAGATCCAGTCTACAGTTGAAAAGAGTGTAGATGTCCTTCAGTCTGAGTCAGAACAAAGGCAAACAATTATTTGCCCAGAGAGGCCAGAAAAACAGACAGATTAACGGTAGGAGACACTGAAAGCAAAAGCAGACAATTATATCAGAGACTTTAGACCGGAGATCACCATTCATTTTATTTTTTCAAAGTAGATAAGATATCAAAGACCTCCTATAAATCAGCAAATACTATTATGCTAACAAAACAGCTTCTAAAAATACCACAGAGTTAGTCATC